AAACAATTATTGTGTTGCTATACTACTAACACCATTCTCCCCGTAACGCTTTTGAATGATTTGAATGTACTCTGGGAAAGGACTACAAGGAAAGCAAGCATAAAACTGAGACAAGCGAGTACATAGATCAGGATGCTAATCTTAACAGCCTGTTGTGTCTGAATCCTCTTAATGTAATAGTACAACATTAGTGTCTACAGAGGACGGGCCCAAAGGTCCATCCAGACCAGGACCCTGTCTCAGACAGGGCCAACAGCAGAAGCCTATGGAAAATGATGAAAAAAATACGAGCGGAGTACCATTTTCCCTGAATATTTCTCTAAACTCCAGTTATTTGCTGCTCAGCAGCTTCTGGAGTCAGTATGCCTTTGCATTTGATGATTCTCACTTGAATGTTGATAATAACAATCATCCCCTGTCAAAAGCACACTTGAATCCCTGTTATTATCACAAGACAATGTGAAAACACTGCAGATGAGGAAAGAAGGTCCTACAGCTGTTAGCAAACCTCTGGCTTTTGTTGGCCACGTCTCCACTAACCACATCTGGGACGGCTCTCTGACACCAAGGTTCACTGCCATGGAATGGCCTATGCCTGTCTTAGTCCTCTCTCTTACCCTCCAAAACAGTAAGCTATCTATTTTCTAAGTTGTCCCTTGGCTGTATTGTCTCCCGAACCACTGCTGGGAACTGTTTGCGAGAGGCAGTGCTGGCTGGCCCATTCTCAGCCAGCCAAGGACACTTCTAAGACGTACAAAGAACCAATTTCCTACACCAGGAAATGTTCCTTATGGAGACGTAGCCGCTGATTTAAACTCAGTTGTGATGGGTTTATAGCAAGCACGTCTAACAAACTGCTTGTGGAAATCCCTTTGATAAGAAGGTAACTTTAGGCAGTCACATCCTAAAGGTGTTAAGAGGGAGATGTGGGTTTGGATGGGTCTAAACTCGGTCCATATCACCTTACCAATTCAGGTGAAAAATGCAGGAAAAAAAGGAATAGACTCTATGACTATGTGGTGTGTAACACCTGAACAGTCCTAGGTAATGGGTGAACTAATATTGCTCAGGATATACTGCTGTCAGTTCCGCTTTCTCAGTCATTCTAGATGGTCTTCAGTGCTATTTCAGAAATGATCACAATATGCCTGCGGCTTTACTTACTGGCCCCTGGTTTTTCTGAGCAGTACGTAACTCATGTTCTGCCAGGCTGACAGATGTTTTCAAGTATTCCAACAGGAATAGAAACATTTTTCTTGCACTAGTGGAGGTGTGACATACCCTTCATTTGCTCCTCCTTTTTCATATAATGCATTTATGAACATTATATGATGAAGTTGATTTGCCAGGTTTGGAAATCAACAGATGGTGATGGGTATAGAGCTGAGCTGCAGTATACCCATGCACATCTTGATAGACATACAGATACGTGTACACCAACAATCAACATGGATAAGATGGCAAATATATTCGATCCTCAGTGAGATGGTTTTAGAGTAATTCACTGAAATACTTACAGAGCTGGTCAAGGACCATACCTTCTATGGTAATGGCTTGGTCTCCTCTCCTCTCCTGGGTCAGGGCTGCAGCACTGTGATGGTAAAGTTCCGCTCCACTTTTTGCAGACCCTAACCTGTTCACCAGCTAAAGAGAATCATGCAGTACCAAATGAAACGCAGGACGTTTTTGTATAATAAAACCTTCCTGTACTACATTACAACTTGATTGCAATTATATGACAACAGAAGTGGGTGAAGATGTGACCCCAAACCTAAGCTAGAGTTTGTAGGAACACATTGCTGCTCAGTGGAGTTCATGATAATGCTTTACCACAAATGACTCGCACAGACACGTTACGGCACATCAGCTAACTTAGTTATTTGCAGTTTGCTCTGCAGCCTGTGACTTGATGCTGAGGTAGCTCTGTCTCTACCAACAGACCCAGATTC